CCGGCGAGGGAGGGCCGACCACGGCGCTGCAGTCCGCTGGAGGAGGCGACCGCCGTCCGCTGGGGGCGCCGCCGTCCGCCGGAGGAGGCGGGCGCTGCAGTCCGCTGGAGGAGGACTGCAGCGCCCTGGTCCGCCCTGGAGGGCGCCGTCCGCTGGGGGTGCCGGTCCGCCGTCCGCTGGGAGCGCCGGTCCGCCGCGCCGTCTGGCCACTGAGGCGGCGCGCGCCGTCGGGTGCCTGCCCCGCCTCCGCCGGCACCTGCACCCCAACAGTGTCCGTGTACGTGATGTAGGTCGTGTCTCAAATCTCCCTGTTCCATATACGAACGCACAAAGCATTTTCCTATAATCCTTCCTGAATCCTTCCCCTCGGGTCCTTCCTTTTTCCCTTTTCACTTTAAGTTTAGTTAAGTTAAAACATATTAACTTATTATAATTATTAACTTATTAGTAACTTAACTTATTAACTTATTTTTAACTTATTGACTTCTTCAGCGCCGTTGTCAACGGCGCTGAAGAAGTCAATAGACGAAACCGGTACGCCCTTAATGTAACTGTTTTGATAGTTTGATTCGTGGAGCCTGGAGGTTCATGTACTCTCGATACAAGAAGCGTGTTGTTTACTGCGTCTTGACGAGAAGAACACGATGCCACTAAAAGTAGGCTATTGGAAGTTATGAGTCAAAAAGTTATTTAAGAAAAACTGTTACCGCCAAAATGAACGTCAATTTTGGCAGTTTTTCCCTGTGGATGCTAAAACGTCGACCTTAGGCCAAATCTGAGAACATTATCTCAGAGAGACCGTTATTAGAGCTATGGAATGCGCTGAACCGCGGCGTTGTAGCTCCATGTGTTCCTGAGCTCCATATTGCGCTGGTCTGTAAAAGATTGTCGAAGTTTGACTGGAAAGTGCTGAAATTTTACCTTTTGGTCACCTCTGGTGACAGGACGTTTCACCTGATTAAAATGTGAACGAACTAATTTCGTCATAATTTTTTACGCTTTTTCCAACGTCGCTCACCGCGTGTCGCTACGTGGCCCGGGAGCCAAGTAAGTTAGAAGTGGGGACTGGTGGCTCAAACATCCCTCCAGCAAGGCGTGGAAATCCAGGATCCCCATTGGGGCGCAGGTTAATCTCTCCATTTGTTTTTGTTTTGTTGGGTTAGGCCCTTTCGGTCTGACGAGACCGAAGGGCCAGAAGGATTTCAGAGCCAGAAGGACGATAGGAATTAGGGGGAGACATTGGTCTGGGCAGACACCCTAGAGAGTCACCGGCCCGTCCCGAAGGACAGGCCGACCAGCCCCAAGGTACTCGCTGCACCCGGCTACGGGGTGCGCTCCCTCGGGAGCAGCGGTACCGCTGCTCTCTCGGGAGCAGCGGTACCGCTCCAAGCAGCCGAGAAAAAATGGCTGTGAATATTTTGTGCGAATAGCGGCTTTTTTAAATTTTGAACGTCAATCAAAATTTTGTTTTTTCTTGTATGAGAATTGTCGATTAGAATATTAAAATAAGTGAACCGTTTTTGTTGCCTGTTGCCCGTTTGTAATCTGTTGAGGCTGCCCTAACGTCACCTATGAACTGTTAGGTGAGATAGTGGTTTTGCATATTGCCAACAGCGGCAGCACTTGTCGGGGTTGCAGTGCGTCCAAGCACACAATAGGAACCAGATATGAAATAATTTTTCTTTAATTTGTATAACAAACTATGGTATAGCGTCATTCCACAATGATAGTTGTTGCTATTGGCTAGGCCCGCCCGATGCACATGCATGAAAACATGCTTTTCAAATCAATTCATCTGAAAAGCTTTTTCTTCATAGGAGGTCCGATAAGAAGTGTACATTTTGGCCGACAGATGGCTGTAGCACTGCATGGCGTCGGCGTTTGGGACTGGGAGGTTTTTTGATAATTATTCTTGCCATGACGAATGTTATGTTGCGTTTGCACAGGAAAACTACGGACATTCGCTTAATGCTCCGAATTAATGTCCCTGTATAGATAGTCTACCTTGATAAAAGAAGTTTTAATGAGTTTCGTTTCAAAACAAGCATCATACTTCTTGACTTTAAGTTGTAAAGCTGGAAAATTGCGATCACGGCATGGGGACCACAGGGGCAATGTGGAAACCCCGGACTCGGGACTCGGGGACTCGGAAGCAGAAATACTGCGTCCATATGAAGGCGTCTTCTCCGAGCCCAGAGATCCCTGTACGTTTCCCGGCAGCCCACGCCCTTTCCGACGTGTGGTTGGCAATATGGACTGCAGAGGTCACCACCGTCCGTGGAGCCATTCAGCCCAGCCAGATGTCTGGCTAGTGGTTGGCGATATGGACTGCAGAGGTCGCCACGGTCTTTCGGCTCGCTGCACTGTGTGCGGCGCTGCTCCGCCTGTGGTGGCCCGTGGTGTAGACATTAGCGGAAATAGCGGGTATTTTGGCCGTTACGAGAAGGAGGGCATGGTGCGCAACGGAGTCCAAGGGAAGTCGTCGACCTGAGATCAGATAAATTCGCCGTGATGTCCGCTGTCCTTATTCTAAAACTTAATCTGACGACACGTAAAAAAAGGTGGAAAAACGCCACAATTATATTTAATCACTTCTCCTGTAGTGCGTCTCAGGATATTTTTGACATTTTCCAGACATTTCACAATGTTAACGTATTTTGGATTTCATGTGATGGTCAAAGTGGCACACCATAAATGTACATGTTCCATAGTGTCACTTCCACATGTGTCACTTAGCCCGTGTCATGCGGCGCAGTCCATCTATCCCGGTACTGGTTCCCTGTGATATCCCTGTAGCGTACTGTACTAATTGTTATATGTATATATATATATATATATATATATATATATATATATATATATATATATATATATATATATATATATATATATAAATATATATATATATATATATATATATATATATATATATATATATATATATATATATATATATATATATATATATATATATATATATATATATATATATATATGGCCCTAGCGGCCCTAGCGTGCTGCTATCACCGGTGAAACAGGGCCCCTGTATCAACATTGAAGCCACCGCTCCCTCTGGTCAACCACTGGTTCTGAGTATCGCCGGTAGGTCGCAGCACCTCTCGGGCAGTAGGCTGTGGACAATCACTGCTCTCTCTCTCTCTCTCTCTCTCTCTCTCTCTCTCTCTCTCTCTCTCTCTCTCTCTCTCTCTCTCTCTCTCTCTCTCTCTCTCTCTCTCTCTCTCTCTCTCTCTCTCTCTCTCTCTCTCTCTCTCTCTCTCTGATCAGTCACTGGTTCTCTTTCCTGCCGTTACGTGGCAGCACCTAGACGTTAATGGGTTGTTGATGTTACTACCGCTCCCTCCGGGTTAACACTAATTCTCAGTATTTCGGATAGTTGGCAGCACCTCCTTGGCATTATAAAGTGGTCGATGTAATCGCTGCTCCCTCTGGGTAAGCACTAATTCTCAGCATTTCCGCTAGGTGGCAGCACCTCCTTGGCTGGCTGTTGATGTAATCGTCACTCCCTCTGGTTAGACACTAATTCTCAGTATATCCGCTAGGTGGCAGGACGTTCTAGGTAAGAGTAGGTTCTCCGTTTAATCAGCACTCCTTCCGGGCAATTGCTGCCTCCCTTTTCAGCTGTTACGTGAAAGCACTTTACTGGTACTTCACTGGCTGGTGACTATACCGACCCTCCTAATCTAACGCTCCTTCTCTTTTCAGTATACCTGAAAGGCACTGCTGATGATACTTACGCTAATTAGAGCTAAACTTAAAGGAATTGACGGAAGGGCACCACCAGGAGTGGAGCTTGCGGCTTAATTTGACTCAACACGGGACAACTCACCAGGCCCGGACACCGTAAGGATTGACAGACTGATAGCTCTCTCTTGATTCAGTGGGTGGTGGTGCATGGCCGTTCTTAGTTGGTGGAGTGATTTGTCTGGTTTATTCCGATAACGAACGAGACTCTGGCCTATTAAACTTGAAACTGTCAGTCTCTTGTGACTGCGGTTTGCTTCTTAGAGGGATCATCGGCGTCCCAGCCGAAGGAAATGGAGCAATAACAGGTCTGTGATGCCCTTAGATGTTCTGGGCTGCACGCGTGTTACACTGAAGTGGTCAGCGCGCCGTTCAACACCCCTCTCCGTGAGGAGCTGGGCAAACGTTTGAACCCTTTTCGTGATGGGAATTGGGGGTTGCAATTGTCCCCCATGAACGAGGAATTCCAAGTAAGCGCAGGTCACTAGCCTGCGTTGATTAAGTCCCTGCCCTTTGTACACACCGCCCGTCGCTACTACCGATGGATGATTTGGTGAGGTCGCCTAGACTGGCTGCTGGCTTCGGCCGTGCGGCCGGGAAGACGCCCAAACTTGGTCGTCTAGAGGAAGTAAAAGTCGTAACAAGGTTTCCGTAGGTGAACCTGCGGAAGGATCATTCTCAGTTGTGTGCATATTTCTGTGCATGATTGTTACCGTCATTCCGTCCGGGACGCACATTCCCCGGACGGAAGTACTCAATACGATGTCACTATGGCTTCCATATGTGTACATTTTTGAACGCCAACATAGGACCTGCGCCCTCGGTCCTATTCAAAAACTAAACATTGGGCTCCCATGGCAGCGGATCACTCGGCTCGTGTTTCGATGAAGACCGGGGTAAAACCCGAGACAGTTTGCGAATTGCAGGACACAAATGATCATCGACAGGTTGAACGCAAATGGCGGCTTCCGATTTCGGTCGGCAAGCTCAGTGCTCTCGAGGGTCGGTTGACGAATCTGCGCATCAACGCAGCCGTGGACGTTTCGTCATCTGTTGTTATGGCCGGTGCGCGTGGCACCGGCCGTGGCCGACAGTGTTCAAATGGCGTCGTCTCAAGTGCCAATTCTGGCGTCGTCACAGCGTGTGCTCTCCGCGCGTTTGGCGTCCGTGCCCTGTTTGATGTGACACAACATGGCGCCCGCCCGCGGACCACACGTCTCTGTGCTCTCTTATCGTTTCGACCTCGGGGGTGCTGGACTACGCACTGAACTTAAGCATATCATTAAGTGCAGGAAAAGAAACCAAATGGGATTCCCATAGTAACGGCGAGTGAAGTGGGATGAGCTCAGCACCGAAGCCGGCGGCCGAGAGGCCGTCGTGCAATGTGGTGTTCGGGAGGGCTCTGTCCGTGTCCGGCGTCGGTCCAAGTCTCCTGGAAAGGAGTTCCGTGGAGGGTGACAGGCCCGTGCGACCGATCGCCGCGCTCGCGGACGAGTCCTCCTTCGAGTCGGGTTGCTCGCTAATGCAGCCCTAAGCAGGTGGTAAGCTCCATCTAAAGCTAAATATAACCACGAGTCCGATAGTCAACAAGTACAGTGATGGAAAGTTGAAAAGTACTCTGAAGAGAGAGTCAAATAGCCCGTGAAGCTGCCAGCATGGGATTAAGCGCACGTGTGACGCGTGTCGTCGGACAAATAGGCGCTCGTCGGCTGACGCACGGTGCGCGCTCGGTATCGGAAACGGTGCCGGCGCGTGCTGCTGTCGGCCGGTCGGCGGCGCGCTTCCCTTTGTTTGACATTGGCAGGTCGGGGCCTCGTTGTCCGGTCTTATTGCCGGTCGTTATCCGTCGAGCCGTGTCGGGCCGGCGCCGTCTTCGGACGTGTGCCGGTGCTCCGTGGAATGTGCGCCTCTGGCGGCCACGGCCGGCCTGGTCTTCGGTGCAATGCGACCGCTGGCAAACGACTGGGCGACGGCCAGCGCAAATCGACTCGCAAGAGTCGGCTCGGCCTTTGCGTCGTCACGTGCGGCCCGTCTTGAAACACGGACCAAGGAGTCTAACATGTGAGCGAGCGATTGAGATTGTCGAATCTCAAACGCGCAATGAAAGTGAAGTGTCGTCTGACGGCACGAGCGGAGATCCGTCGTCACTCGTGGCGGCGGCGCATCCGCGGGCCACGCCATCGGCTGGCTTGCTCTTCACTGAGCACTGCTGAGGCGTGGACCTAGAGCCCACACGTTGGGACCCGAAAGATGGTGAACTATGCCTGGCCAGGATGAAGCCAGAGGAAACTCTGGTGGAGGTCCGCCGCGATTCTGACGTGCAAATCGATCGTCTGAGCTGGGTATAGGGGCGAAAGACCAATCGAACCATCTAGTAGCTGGTTCCGCCCGAAGTTTCCCTCAGGATAGCTGGCGCTCGTGTGATACGGAGTTTCATCCGGTAAAGCGAATGATCAGAGGAGCTGGGCTCCTTGCGAGCTCAACCTATTCTCAAACTTTCAATGGGTGAGACGTCTCGCTGGCTTCACTGCAGCGACGACTCTGAATCCGAGTGCCCAGTGGGCCACTTTTGGTAAGCAGAACTGGCGATGCGGGATGAACCGCATGTCGAGTTAAGGTGCCTAAGCGGACGCAAATCAGATACCATGAAAGGTGTTGATTGCTCACGACAGCAGGACGGTGGCCATGGAAGTCGGCACCCGCTAAGGAGTGTGTAACAACTCACCTGCCGAAGCAATCAGCCCTGAAAATGGATGGCGCTAAAGCGTTCCACCGATACTCGACCGTCGTCGGCAGGCGACGTGCATGCCACGTCTCAAGCCACGACGAGTAGGGCGGCGCGGTGGTGAGCGTCGAAGGCGTAGCCGTGAGGCTAGCTGGAGCCGCCATCGGTGCAGATCTTGGTGGTAGTAGCAAATACACAAGCAAGATCCTTGTGGACCGATGTGGAGAAGGGTTCCGCGCGAACAGTACTTGGACGTGGGTGAGTCGGCCCTAAGCCAACGGGTAATTCCCGCATCCCGTGTTGAACGACACAATCATTCGAATAACATGGGTTGATGGCGAAAGGGAATGCGGTCAATATTCCGCAACCGGACGCGG